TTTTTTATTGAATTTAGTATTTATTTAGATATAAGATATACTTATTAAGATTTTATCGTTATAATTTTAATTATAGAATATTCCATATCTAGTTTTTTAACTCTTAATTTTATTGTGTTTGTGGAATACCTGTAAATTAGCTGGCGTGCTTTCACAGACCCCGATTTCGGTTCCGTCTGTGAAAGCACACCATTGTTGTAGCTAAGTGTATTTTCACAATAAACTCTTATTGTATTGTGTTGCATTGTATTTTCAGTGGTGGTATATTGCATTTCCTCGAATAAGCGCACTCACCCTAACAAGCTCCCACCCCCTAGGCAAAAATATCAAACAATATGCGCCCCCTCCTCAATGACTTTGAAATTCTTAAATAGGGGGAATACAAGGAAAACCTCTTTCTATTGCTACTTTATTGATGGCTTTTTAAGCTTCAACTTTAACTTTCACAATATTATGTTGATACATCTGTGTGTAAACTGTATGATTGGACTATGTCATGCTTTATTACCAACGGAAGAACTTAAAAAGCGCCCCCCTCGATTAAGCGCACTTCTTCCAATAGGCGGCCGGGAACTTATTCGGGGAAATTAGGTAAGCGCAAATTATCCACACTGGGCCCTTTGCAAGTCAGGTGACCTACGTGATGCAAAAAATTATGGGACAAAATTTAAACAATCCCAGAGATGGAAAAGAATGAGAAAATTAGCTGTTATAGTTTTGAAGTAATTGACGCATACGATTAAGATATTGGTGTTGCCATGTCTGCAAAATCATAAGAGTTTCTGTTTAAAAAAACTGCTGAACCTCAAGGCGTGCAGTCCAGCTACTTTCACAATTGATACATTTATCAGGAGCTGATGTAGTATTTTCAGTCATTAAACCACCATAAATTCGCCTTGCTAAGAGTTTAAAACCTAAAAATAGGCAGAATTACTGTTTAAAAAAATCTTATGCCTTTTCAGTCTCTTAAATCTTTCCGGTTGCATCCCATAATTTTGGCATGAGATAATAATAACAATAACAATCATAATAATCCGCACAAGTTTGTAGAAGAGCTAGGGTCGACTAGTCTGCATTTTGCCTCTCTCCTAGAGAAGAGGATCAGTAGAGATAACATCAGCATTTTTACGCTACAGGTGAAACACTCCATCACCTCACACTGACAGTCACTTAATCCCACTAGAGAAAATTCATTCTTCGCGTGACTCAGTTAGTAAGGGTAGGGAGTCGCATTTGATAGATAAGGCCATGGCTCTTGAACCTAATGGCCTAAACCACTGTGACGAAGTGTTGTAATCCATATCCTTATTATTTTTCTTTTCCAGTTTTTTGTTTTGTACGTCATTTCTGCCTCTCCCTTTTAAACAATTTTTATTGCGATATTCTCCGTCTATATAATTTTGTGATTCCTATTATAAAATTCAGTAACATCTGTAAACCTGAAGAAGGCTGGTATGGCCAGCCGAAATATTGTTATAAAAACACAATACACGTTGTTCTGATCAGCTTTGCGGTAGTCTTTGGACTTCTCGTTTTTGCTTCTTAATATTTTGGCTGACTAGATCTCGTTTCTAGAGATCCAACGTTTATAACCAGCAGGATCTTCGTCCAAGGTTTTTGCAGTTATTTTAATTTCTTTATTAGTGGTGTAGGAACCGGTTAGGCCTTTTTTTGCGAAAGAATCTCATTAACTTGCGCAGGAATATATTAACGCCGATGACTTCATTGCCTTTTGTCTTTATCTCTTGAATAAATGCGGAGGAATCTCATTAAGGTTACTCTAAGGTCGGTAAATGTCTTGGTTTTCGATTGGTTGATTAGAGAATAACAAAAGTTTTCATTGGTTAATTCGTGGTGTCTAAGGAATAAACTCAAACTCGCCTGTGACTTAAAATCCCTGAGCCGTAATGTAAGGGACCGGTCATTATTTATCACCTGGTGGGGGTCGGAGGATTTTGGGGGGGATCACTTGATTTTTAGGAGAACAGAGGGGGGGATCAGTCGTGACTGAGAGCCCAAAAGGAGGGGATCACTGAAAATTTTGGAAGGATT